TTTTCTTTCTCTCTCTCTCTCTCTTTCTCTCTCTTCCTCCAGGGGAAAAAAAAATTTTTTTTTTTTGTAAACGTCACGAGAAACGAAGGGAAGTCAGTAAATTTCATAAAACAAAAATGTCGGACATGTTTTTTTTTTTTTTTTTTTTTTTTAAATTTGAATTTACGTTTACGATTTTAATATTAATAATGGAAAAAAAAAAAAAAAGTTTTTCCCGTTTCGTTTTGTTTTCTTTCCATGAACTTTTCGTGAACTTTTCCGATTTACGTTTGATTTGTTATCAATCGTTTTAAATTAAAAAAAACTGGAAATCGATAATAAAAAAAATTAATTTTACGCAAAAAAACAAACAAAAAATAAACATTATGTGTTTACCTTTTGTTTATTTATTGTTTTTAATAATAATAATAATAATAATAATAATAATGATGATGATGATGATGACGATCGCGAACGATTAACCTTGAATCATTGTTTTCATCATCAGACGATTGATTGAAATTGATTAGAATTTTAGACAATAAAAAATTTCTATCGATTTCGTCCGTGAAACGTTCAAAAACGCAATAATAATAATAATAATAATAATAATAATAATAATAATAATAATAATAATAATAATAATAACAGATTTCATAGAATAAAATCCATCGCCGGATTTTCATTTCATTTTTTTGTTTGTTTTTTTAATTTAACAAACATGAAAAAAATGCGTTTGTCTTTCAACCATTACGTTCCGAATTTAAATTATTAATATTTTCCAGTTTTGGAAAATTTTGGAAAATGACAGAAAATTAAAATTTATAATAGAATTGAAACGATTCGGTCAAAAAAAAATTTTTTTTCTTTTAATAAAAAAAAAAAAAGGAAAAACTATTATTATTATTATTATTATTATTATTATTATTATTATCAGTTGTACGGTTTCGCATTTTCCCGCCTTTTTTTTTTAAATTTTCTCCAGTTAAATATTTAACGTCGTTGTCTTTTTTTTTTTATTCGCAAGAAAAAAGAACGCGGAGGGTTGTTAATTAAATATAAATTTCGCAGGTACGCAGCAGCTCCTAATGGTTCTGTTGCTGCTGCTGTTACTGCTGGAAATAAAATTCCAGTTAAAAAAAAAAAATTCAAGTTAAAAAAAGAAAGGAAAATTTAATTTCTTAGTTTTTTTTTTTTTTTTATTTCATTGTTTGCTTATGTCAGTTATTGGTCATTAATTTTTTTTTTTTTCTTTCGCAACATTTTTCGTGACGGCTGGAGAAAAGAAAAAAAAAACTCATTAAAACAATCGACCATCATCGTCTTAACAACACTTTCTTTCACACTCCCCGACCCCCCTCCTCTCCTCACCCCCTTCTTTTTTCAGAATTTAATTTTACGATTATTGCGAAATTTACGATGATGGTAATAATAATAATAATAATAATAATAATAATAATAATAATAATAATAATAATAATAATAATAATAATAATAAACTAATACGACGACTTGAATGAATCGACGGTCGTTTGTACGACGGTGATATTTACCCGTTTGTAGACCGTTAAACGTTTGTGTTTGTTGATATGTTTGTTTAGCTTAGTTGTTGAGTAATATTTCAAGTAATATTTAACATTATTATTATTATTATTATTATTATTATTTTAGAAAGTAATAAAAAAAATATAAAAAAAATTTTTTTTTGACCCGAGACTTGCGTTTTCTCAAAACAACTCCAGGAAAATATTCCAGACATAAAGTTTTTTTTTTTATTTTTATTTCTTTTTGGCAATTTAAATAAATTCGTTTTGATTATTATTATTATTATTATTATTGAGTTCCAGAATATAAAAAATAATAATAATAAAAATGAAAACTTTTGATTCATTAAATTACGGTAAAGTTGAACTTTAAATTTTTCTCCAGCCGATTATATTTTATTTTATTTTATTTTAAGTTTGTTCGTAAAAAAAATTTTTTTTTAAAGAAAAATTTTGTTCGAATTTTCCATTTTCGTCATTTTTTAATCGATATTATTATCATTATTATTATTATTATTATTATTATTTATTTTTATCGATTTTTAATGTTCTACGTAATCGAATCGATCGATCGATTTTTTTTTTTTTTTCAAGTAGATTTTCCATTCATTTTTCAAAGTTTTTCCAAAAATTTAAATCGTTGTAATGTTAATATTGTTATTATTATTATTTTGTATCGAGTGCGGGAATGTTTTTCCAGACGTAACCTTTCGTGGTTTTTCATAACCGGAAAATTTTTAAAAATTGAAACTGAAAAAAAAATTTTCCCGGGTTTTAATAATGATTTTTGCACGGGAATTTTCTTTCAAGGTCACGCATCGTAAATTTTATTCTTATGTAAAAAAAAAAAAAAAATCCGTACCTGGAAAACACTCAAACTCCTTCCTTCTCCCCCCCCGAAAAAAAAAGATGAAGGAAAAAAAAATTATGACTGCAATCCGCGAAATGAATTAATAATAATAATAATAATAATAATAATAATAATAATAATAATAATAATAATAATAATAATAATAGTAATAATAATAATAATAATTTCATTTACATAATTTTAAGAAGAGAAAAAAAAAAGAAGAAAAGTTTTGCGCATTTTTTAAATTTACTTTTTTTTTTGCATTCTAATTTTTTTTTCTTCTTCTTTTAATTTTTTTTCTTCTGCTTTTTTTTTTAAAGTGAGATAATGATAATAATAATAATAATATTTAATGCCGTCTCACCGACACATCCTGTATATTAATTTTTTTCTAAAAGAAATTTGAAATTTTTAACGAGTCTTACAAAAAAAAAATTTTTTTTTGATTTCCCTCAATTATTATTATCATTTTAAATTTTTTTGAATTCGTTTTGTTTAAAAATAATAATAATAATAATAATAATAATAATAAATTAAGGCGTTAAAAACGTTAATTTCATTTCCAGTTCGTGATTTATTAAAAAAAAAAATTAATAATAATAATAATAATAATAATAATGAGTTTTAATTTCACACACCCGGAATTCAAATGATGATCACAACGAACAAACAAAACAAAAGAAACTTTTCCTCCTCCTCCTTCTTCTAATAATAATAATTAATTTCAATTATTGATTAATAATAATAATAATAATAATTCGATTCACGTCAAAATTTATTAATAATAATAATGATGATAATAATAACCAATGAGTAAAATTAATTTTAATAATTAATAATAATAAAAAAAAAAAAAAAAACGACATTTTGAGTTAATATTTTTTTTTTTTTTTGTAATTAATTTATTATAAAATATGGAAGTGACGTCACGTTTGTATTACGTCACACATCACTCAATGATTTCGTGGTGGTGCGCGTTTTCTTTTTTTCTAGAAAATTCTAAAACTTTGACGATTTTCGAATCGTTTTTTGCTATTTCCGTCCGAATCGTTCATTCGTTTGTTGGGTGATTTTTTCTTTTTTTTTTTTTTTGTTTCGGAAAAATTAAACGCGGTCTTTAATAATAATAATAATAATAATAATAGTAATAATAATAATAATGATAATTAATAAATAATATTTATAATAATGATAATTTTTATATATACGTATGGAAAAGTCAGTTGGACGAGAAACTTTTTATTTTTTTTTTTATTCAAAATTCAACCCCCCAGTGATTAATGACCATTTTTCCTTTTTTTTCTATTTCTTTTCTTTTCTCTCTCTCTCTCTCTTTCTTCAAATAATCGTTTTCTTAACCTTTTATTATTATTATTATTATTATTTTATCCGAAGCGTTAAAAACTTTCTTTTTTTTTTTATTGCATTTTTTTTTTTTTTAAACAAAAATTTAAAAATCTTCTTCTTCTCTCATGCTAACTGAATTTTTCTAAGTAATAAATTTAATTTTTTTTTTATTTTGTTTTTTTTTTTTTTTTCAACAGCCGTAAGAGAAAAAAAAGAGAAAGAAAAAAAGGAAAAACTTTTCCTTTTTTTTTATTAACCTTAATTGAATGTTTATTAAGAATAATAATGATAATAATAATAATAATAATAATAATAATAATAATAATTATTATTATTATTATTATTATTATTATTATTATTATAAATTTCACGCGATCAAATTTGAATATTTTAATTAAAAAAAAAAAACCAAACAAAACAAAGAAAAAAAATTTTTTTTTATTTTCATAATCAATAACGTAATTTGATTGATATATTCAATCGATCGATCAATCAATCATTCGTTAAAAATTTTAATTACTTTGATAAAATAATAATAATAATAATAATAATTTTAAAGAAGACACATTTTCGAATGGATTTTTTGTTTAAAACAAATTTATTTACGTTTTAGATTATTAAAAAAAAATTTTTTTAAATCGTAAAACTCATCGTCTTCTGCTGTGAAAAAACACAAAAACAAAATCTCCCCACTCCCCAAAATAATTTTATTTTACATCATCATCATCATTTTTTTTGTTTTTTTTTTTTTACGAGACTAAAATTAATAATAATTTTTTCTTTGATCCTTTCTCCTCCCTATTTCCCATTTTTTTTATTTATTTATTATCATTATCATTATTTTATTTTTGATTGCGATTAAAAAACAAAAGATTAAGGGAAAAACTTAAATATATATAAACAAAATGAAATTTAATCGTAAACGGATTAAAATTGGATTAGATTATTTTCTCATCGTTTTTAAAAAAAAATCAGAAAAAAGAAAAAAATTAATTAATTTAAATATCTTAATAAGATTTGTTTAAAAAAAAAAATGAATTAATTTAAAATGGCGGTTTTAGGTAGGGGTAGGGGAAATGGGGGGAGAGGAGGGGAAAGAGTATTTCGATGTAATAATAATAAATTTATATAAATAAAATTTGAATAGAAAAAAAAAACCAATAATGAATGTTAATAATATGTTAAACGAATGTATGACGTCAGAGGCACACTCGATGAGGAAAAAGAATTGTTTGTTGTTGTGGTTGTTGTTGTTGTGTTGATAAGAATGTACTCACCTATGGTCGTGATAAGAGTTAGAGAATAAAGAAAACTCGAAGCGAAACTCCAATTGTGTTGATGATGAGAGTAATAAACGGCGGAACCGTCACCGGAAACGTCGTTTGTTTTAACGGTAATTTTATCACCGTAATTTTTAAAAGTTTTCACGAGATTTTCTTGAAACTTTAAAACTTCCTGCGTGGCCAACCGAGTCCAATTTTCCTTATATAATATGTTTAAATCTTCCGTTATGCTCCATAATTTTTCAACCGTTTGCAATCGGATATCGTCGTTTGTTATCATTTTTTGTTTTTTATTATCGGGATTCGTGTGATCGGATCCACTTCCTCCTGCCCCACCACCACCACCACTTCCGGTTGTTTTTATTATGGATTTATCCGTGTTTAAATCGAATTGTGTTTTACCAACGAATCCACCCTCGAGTGCCATAAATATAAACGCTCCTAAAACCGTATATGCTAAAACTAATACGAAAACACCGATGCTCGTTATAAATGACGATGAAGATGACGAACAGTAACAGCAACACAGCCTGAAACAAAAAAAATATAATAATGATAATAATAATTTTTTTAAAAGGGGAAGGAATTGGTGGAGAGGGAGGAGGTGTGCGTAAATCAAATATTAACTTTGAAATTTTCGCGTCGTGGGAGGGGAGGGGGAAAGGGATAATTTAAATCTTTTTCAAATCACAATTTTCTTTTTAAACAAACGAATTCAATCATCTACGTCACGACTAATCTTTTTAGTTTTTTTTTTTTACTGTTCCCGCTATTTTCAAGCAGACAATTTGATTGATTTTTTAAATAAATTAATAATAATAATAATAATAAATTTAATTTAAAAAAAGAAAAGTTTTCTCCAGTTAAAAAAATGAAAAAGAAAATTTTCGTGATTTTATTTTTTTAATCGTAATCAAATTATTATTATTATTATTATTATTTTTCATCGTATCAAACGATAATAATAATAATAAATAAAAATAATATGATTAATATAAAAAATATAAAAATCGTGGAATAGGCTGGAACGAAAACGAAAACAAGATAATAATAATTGAAACGCTGTCTTTTTTTTTTTTTGGTTTTGTTTTGGTAAAACCTTAAAATTACAATTTAATCCTTTTTTCTCTCTCTCTCTGTCTCTCTGTCTTTCTCTGTCTTTATTCTCCAAAATGTACACGACATTTTTCCATGACGTTACGTAATTTTTTTTTTTTTTTTTTTTTGATTTAAAAAAACTGGAATCAAAAAAAATTTTTTTTTTTTATCAAAGCATTACACGCTTTGATTCCAAAAAAAAAAATGCGATTTCCGGTTTTTGTTTTTTTTTTTTTTTGTTATTTTAGGGTAATATTATCTGGAAAATTGAAACCTTTTATATTAACAACATTCCATTCGGATTATTATTAATACTATTATCATTATTATTAGTGTTATTTTTATTATTATTAGTATCGTAATTTGTTTTTTTTTTCCGTTCGATGGAATCTGAAAAATTCGAAGAAAGATTTAATTTTCAATTTTTTTTTTATTTTTTCGAAATTAAAATATAAAATGGCGAAGAATAAAAAGAGAGAGGGGGAGTGGTAGGCGGTATTGAGAGGGGGTACGGGTAGGAGGAAGAGGAGGAGAACGGGGAAGGAAGGTAAATCAAAGGAATGATAATTTTAAATGTTTTCATCAACAACGTTGTTTTTATTAATAAAGTACGGGTAATTTTTTTTTCGCACTCCTCGAGTAAAAGATGGAGAGGGGGCGGGGGCGGGAAAAGTGTTGAATTCAATTTAATAAAAAAAAAAATGAATGAAATTTTTTTTTTTTTTAAATAAACGTTGTTGTTGTTGTTGTCGTGACAAATTAATTACGTGAAAGGTTCATTTAACCAAAAAGGACCGACGTGCGGGTAGGTTGGAATGTAAGTGTGAAGGGGTAGGTGGGGAGCTGGCGTGAAGGGAAAGGGCAGAAGAATAAAGGGGAAGTGATAGGCTGGGGAGAGGAAAAACACAAAAAAAAAATTCTTTGATGCGGTTTTTTTTTTCCTTACCTAAGAAAAACGAAAACATATAAATAAAACGGGGGGAAGGGAAGGAAGGAAAGAGAAAGAGGAGGAGGAGGAAGAAAAGGGAAGGAAAAGTAACGCGTAAACAATTTTTTTTTATTTTTTTATTTTACATAAATAAATAACGTAAATTAATTTATATTTCACGTTAATAATTTATCATCATTATCATTATTATTATTATTATTATTATTATTATTATTATTATTATTATTATTACTATTATTATTTGACTTTTTACGTTATTAATAAATTTTTTTTTGAATGACTGGAATTCCATAGACCGAAATTAATCGCCCGTAAATTTCTCGTACGTTTAACATAAATGCAAAAATTTTTTAGATGAATGTAAAAAAGAAAAAGTGGCAGGAGCATCAGGAGGAACAGGAGCATCAGGAGCTGGAGCTGGAGCTGGAGCAGGAGGAGCAACTTAGCAAAGGTAAGAAATAAAATTACGTAATTTTTTCATTTTATCATCGCGATAATATTTAACTCGTTTTTTGACGTCATATACTCTTAATTATTTAAAACTATTCGAATTCGTTAATGTGTGACGTCAAAATTTTAATAATAATAATAATAATAATAATAATGATTGAATGAATAATTACCGGAAGTTATTATCGTCGACATTTTAATTGTTCGATCGAAGAATAATCAAATTCGCGAAAAATAAAAAAATTTTTTTTAATTTCGGGTTTTTGTCGTCGAGCATTTCCCCCTCCCTTCTTTCTCCCCTTCTTCCCCTTCCTCCCTACAATATTAAATCACCCAAAAAAAAAAGAAAGAAGAAGAAGAAAGTGTTAAAAGTGCCAAGAAAGCAGACTAATATTTTCGTATCGGAAAACATAGCATTTTGAAAATGACGTTAATGATTAAAAACGTTTAACTTTTTTTTTTTTATTTCCGTCAGCAGTTTTTGCCCCTTCCCCTCCCCTATTTACGTGGCCCCCCACCGTGCAAACCTTTCTTCCACCCCTCTTTACGACTCATCTTTGTGAAAAAGCAAAAGAAAATTGAAATAGTAAACAATTTGACACAAAAAAAAAATTTTTTTTTCGTCCAGACATTTTTTAATTATGTTAATTAGTATGTGATAGTAGGTCGTTGAACTTAACATATTTTCAAAAAACAGAGGGGGGAGGGGGAAGCGAGAGAAATTTGGGCCAAAAAAAAATTGATAATAATGATTGTTTCGTTCAAGGTTTTTTCCATAATTGAAAAACTTTTTTTTTTTTTTTTATTGTTTTAATCAGATCCTGGAATGGAATTATCATACTGGAATCTAGTGATATTATTATTATTATTATTATTATTATTATTATTATTATCATCATAATTTATTTATTTATTTATATTATGTATTATTTAACTTTTTCATTTGAAGACGTTTCCACGAAGAAAAAAAAATTTTTTTTATTTTTTTATTTTTATTTTTTTTGGGGGAAAAGAAAAATTGTTCCCGAATTTTTTTTTAAAAAAAAAAAAGAAAAAATTTCCCGGAGAAAAATTTTAACACTTTATCATTTTCTAAATAAGTCTTTTTTTTTTTTTTTTTTTTTTTTTTTTTTTTTTTAAAAAACCCAGGGAGGAGGAGGGTTTTCATAAAAATTTTTTGAAAGGCCATTAACTGCTTTCTGCTTTTTCCTTTTTCTCCCTTTTTTTTTTATTCGTTCCAGCTCCAAAAAAAAAAAAAAAAAAAAAAAAAACAAGGAAAAAATGGGGAAGAAAAAAAAACCTTTATCCGTCTTGATAATATGCCGTGCGCGTTTTTTTTTTTTTTTTCTCTTAGAGGTGAGCAAAAGTCAAATAAATTGGGACAAAAAAAAAAACTGGAAAACTGGAAAAACTGGAAAAACTCATAAATATTTCATATAAAGTTTTTTTTTTTAAGAAAAACTATAATAATTTAAAAAAGTAAAAAAAAAAAAATTAATGATAGTTTTAAAAACTCTTTCTTACTGCCAACTTTTTTTTATTTTTCTTTTACTGGAAGTAATGAATAAAGAATGATAATAGTGATAACTCCATGTTGTTGTTATGAAATGTTTTTCAAATTTCTTTTTTTTTTTTTTTTTTTTCCGTTAATAATTTTCCGAAAAGTTATCGAAATGACTCCCTTTCCCCTTCTTTTTTACGCGCCATTTTTTTTTATTCCACTTGCGACTCGTTATTATTATCATTATTATTATTTTTCACTAATAAAAGTCTTCGTAGTCGTGTCGTTTTTTTTTTTTCTAACCTTTGTTAGATGTATTATTAAATGTCAAAAAAGTGAAGAAGAAAAAAAAAAAAAGATAAATTCGTGCGTGAAATTTGTACGGTTTACATATATATATAAACGAAACCGGAAATGGAAAAAAAAATTTTTTTTGTTAGGTTAGGCATTCGTGCGTGTTTTCGTTTTATTTCCGGTCGAAATAAATAATAAAAAAAATTGTTTTTTTTTAATTTTCAGATTGTAAAAAGAATTTAATTATTTATTAGTTTTATATGAGAAAAATGTTTTTCTTATGATTTGATTTAATTGATTGTCGGTATTATGGGAACATAAAATGAATTTTGTTTTTATAGGGAATTTAACGTTAACTGAAGCTTTCTTACGAAAAAAAAATTTTTTTTAATTTTTAATTTTTAAAATTTTTAAATAACAAAATTTTTTTATTATTTGCAAATTATAAAAAGAATTTAGTTATTTATTATTTTTAAATAAGAAAAATGTTTTTCTTATAACTTGATTTAATTGATCGTCGGTATTATGGGAACGTAAAATGAATTTTGTCTTTATGGGGAATTTAACGTTAACTAAAGCTTTCTTACGAAAAAAAAAAATTTTTTTAATTTTTAAAATTTTTAAATAAAAAATTTTTTTTTTATTTGCAAATTATAAAAAGAATTTAGTTATTTATTATTTTTAAATAAGAAAAATGTTTTTCTTATAACTTGATTTAATTGATCGTCGGTATTATGGGAACATAAAATGAATTTTGTCTTTATGGGGAATTTAACGTAAAATAAAATTTTCTTACGAAAAGTAATGTGACTTACCATAATTTTTGACCGTTTTTCGTTTGTTGTATCCCACGTCGTATGGCTCTGCATTTTGAACCCGTTGATAATGTGGGTGATGAAGGTGATGGGACAAATCCCCCCTGCTGCTGATAATTCGGACGATCTCTTAGCATCCCCCAAACGATTTCATCATCCTGGATTAAAGAAAAAAAAAAAAAATTAAATCATTATCTCTCTCTCTCTTTCTCTTCTGTTGTCCCGTAAAAAAAATTTCCAATCGAAACTTTCCCGACGAAAAAGACGATGACGGTTTCGAATTCGTAAATTAATTCAATCTTATCATTAATAATAATAATAATTATGTATTTTTTTATTATGTACATAAAAATTTATTTTTTAATAGGTCAAAGAAGGAAGAAAAATAAAAAAAAATGATAAGAAAATTTTAGAGGAAATTTTTTTTCTTTTTCTTCAACCATCACGTCGCGTTTTTTTTTTTTCGTTTTTCATGTAAAAAGTTTATGATAATAATAATAATAATGATAATAATAATAACAATAACGACGTCGCGGACGTCAGTCAAATTGTTTAAATAAAAAAAAATAAATTTAATTTTAAAAAAAAAATCAAAATGTCTAAAAAAGAAAATTTT